AGCAGCAAGAGAAAGAGAGAGCGCACGCACCAGAGACAGCGAGAGAAAGCAAGAGAGTGCGAGCGAGCGAGCATGAGAAAGGAAAAGGAAAAAAAGGAGCCATAAAGATAAAGCAGCAGGTGAGGAAATAGGAGCAAGAGAACTTTGACAAAATAACCTGCAAATACTGGAATCTTGAAATAAAGAGAAAATGAGGTAAATACTCAGCAGGTCTGGCAGCAACCATGTAAAGAGTTAACATTAAAGTCAACTTTCATGTCAATAGATATTAGAACTTTGCAAAGTCTGAAATGTTTGGAAGGGCAGCGCATGTTGAGATGACTGAAGTTGGAACAGAGTAATACAGAAGGAACAGTCCCTTCAAAATGCTGAAAGGGTAGGAAAATATGTTTGATCGTGGCATCATCACACTAGAAGTGGAGAAAATGGCAAAGGTGAATCCACAAATATACATATGTCAGATGCTGATGTGGAGGGTTTCAAATATCAAGATAAAACAACAAATATCACACACATTAAAGAATAGTCGTACGTGCTACACCATAAGTGGAGGGGGCACACTTACTGCATATTATGTTGCGGTGCCTGTGACCCCATTGCCACCAAACCTCAAAGTAGCTGGCTGCATCAAGGAATACGCCCATTCAAATACTGAGCAAGGTGAAGACATTTTAACAAGTGGAACACTAAATAAACTTGTTTTCCTCAAATGTTTCTCCAATGTACAGTCTTTAATGTACAGTCTTCAATGTTTTGTGAACACACTGTGATAGCCTAATAACAAGGTTAGGGATTGCAGTTTTCACAGAATATCGGACTCCAAAGCGCCTATTAAAAATCCTGGGTTTGCAAAATTTGCTAGGGTCCCCAATCCTGTTCCATCAACGTCAATTACCCCCACAAGCTAAGGACTGTCTGTAAGGGTAGTAGAGACAGAAACTCTCATTACATTTCAGAAGTACTTAGATGTACACTTGTGATGCCAAGGCATGCAAGGCTACAGGCCAAGTGCTAAAAAATGGGATTAGAATAGTTAGATGGTTGTGTTTGACCGGCACAGACTTGGTAAGCTGAAAGGTATTTTTCTGTGCTATAGATCTCTACAACTATGATTCTATGAAACACGATGATGAGTGGGAGGAAGGCAGCAAGAGACCAGGAGCAGGCTAGTAACGGAACAGGTGGGACGGTAATAAGCAAAATGACGGAGTGGAGAGTGGGCACACATTGATGATCTCAGCAGCAACACAACACAACCCAGGTGGAGTGGGTGCCACTTCCAGGCACGCAATGATAACACCAGTCACACAGGCTTTCTAATCCAGTGATACGGCAAGAGATACAGTCTTAAACAATTTCACCATAATTCTTGAGTAAAAATTAAAACATTGAGAAAAATGCAGTAATGCTTACCTTACATTTGTCCCCAACCACATACTGCATTCCAGCAGCAATAGAATAATCTTTCTTCTGCTGTGCTGCAAAGTACAGTTTAAATATAAAGTATTAATGATAGCAATGAACTAGCTAACACAGAATCAAAAAGTTGAATTTTATGTAAGCCACTCACCTTGTTCGATTTTCTGCCAAACTTCATACTCAATATTTCTATAAACATTTGGGTTGAATGCTTGGAGGACCCTTCTTGGAAGGGTCACATGAGTCGAGCTTTCACTTTTCATTTGCTGTTTCTGAGAACAAGAGATAATAAACACACATTTGCAATGTTTTAATGGTCTGTCTGCACATTAAAGCTTGTAGGAGTAGAAATTTATTGTGGGCAATGACACAAAATTGACGTTATTAAAATCAGCTCTTATCTGCAGCAGCCAGTATTTAGTTCCATTGCAAACAAGATAAAACATCAAATGCTGCACACAACAGCTGATCATTATTTGTTTTACCTCAGCACTCGAGTTGAATCTCATCCATTATCTGTTTACTTTCTACCATTTGGTTAAAAATTTGGGTAACAAAACAAACTTTCAAAGGTTGCTCATTAGTTTTGTCTTACATTGATTTACAGCACAGAAAAAGGCCATGGCACCCAACTAATTTATGCCGATGTTAAGAGACCACCGTATCCTCTTTCCAACCTATTAGCATGTTCTACACTTTCTTTCCCCACATGCAATTAACTACCTTCCTTTTAAATTCATCTATGCTAACCTCTTCAACAATTCTGATTTGGCGGCTTCTAATCCAAGAAATTCCACCATCATGCTTTTGACTGTTCATTCTGAAATGCCCAAAGAAATGATACATCGATTTCAAAAGTACTTCTCCCTTTCTGATTAGGGTGGTTAGGATTTACTCTGCAGCACCTTATTGTAGGACAGTTGAGATTATGTTCCTGTCAGAATGATTTTTAACATGGTGGGGGGAGATGAGCAAGAAGAGAAAAGGAAGGGCATCAAGAAATGAGTGCTATCCACCAATTGCCAGGATTCGGTCAGATAGTGCCTGTCAACCTGCTCCCAGTCTGGTATTTCAAACCTATTAACGAGGCTAGAAACCTCCATACAACTTGCTTTGCATGTGTATGTGTCACTGGTCAGGATTTCTAAGGCCTTAGGAAAGCTGACAGTTGTAGGGAGGGAAGGATGGCCTCAGGAAAAAAAGCTAAGGGCTTTCACAGCGTTTCTTGTAGACCAGAAAGAATAGGAGTACTTCCTCCCATTGCCAAATTATTAAAGTATCTGTCCCTCTATTAGTTGCCAGAGAGTGGTGCAACCTTGATGTCACTAGATTACATCATGAATGGTCAGACCTAACTGGTCCTTTGGCCTCCTCAACAGCATTTCCTACCTGACTACAAGCTAAGCCTGTCAAACATCTTGACTTCCTGGGAAAACTTATCAATGACCAGAGATGCACACTGTGAAATTAAATCTTCATAGCATTTGGGAGACACTACAGGATTCCTCTGCTTCTTGTGTGTCACAATGCTAAAATTCCTCTATCTTCTGGTGAAATCTCAGATACAAATTTATTTTCTGTTACTTTGTGATTACATTACAGATCCTCAACGTTTTCCTGACACAAGCTGTAACTAGAACTCTAATCACAAACGCAGATGTGGACCAAGTTAGCGAGGTCTGTTAAGATAGTAGCAAAGATGGAAGCAGATATCCAATAACAATATGCCTTCCTACAAGGGCAAAAAGAAAGCAGCAAGCGATACTCAGTCTCAGCCAAAAATAATTCAGTGCTAATCATATGTCTATCAAAGGAAGATTAGATCTTTATGTCTCAGTTTGTTGAGGTCTCTGGACATGCCAAAAGAATAGCCCTCTTAAAGTTAAAATTAAAATTTAAAAAGTTTTAGTGGAATACATTTTCCTATTAATTGACCACATTGCGGTTATTACAAATAAAGTCATAACAGTCTCCTGTTTCAAACAGATATTTCATACATGAAGAACCTTAACAAAACCAACTTGTCTGTTGCCAAGTTTGTAATACAGGTATTTTTGACCTAAAGCATGTTTCATTAACGCAAATTGACTGTAACGCGATCGATGAATAGTGAACACTGTTTGGATAAAGCAAACTTTCTGCTGTACAGGTGTAGCGATTTCCCAATAAAGTGATTTTCTATGGTGACTTTCTATCGTGCAATTTCTATAGCACGAGGTCACACAAGAACACAACTATCATGTTACAGGAGAACTGCCTGTTATGTCATTTGGTGGTATTTACTAAGTAATATGTATGATCTGAATGTGTTCTCTCAGTAATGAGTAAAAGATACGAAGGTGGGTCACGTTGTGGACAGTGCGGAGGGCTGTTCTAGGTTACAAAGGGACATTGATAGGATGCAGAGCTGGGCTGAGGAGTGGCAGATGGAGTTTAACCCTGAAAAGTGTGAGGTCATTCATTTTGGAAGGACAAACTTGAAAGCAGAATACAGGGTTAACGGAAAGATTCTTGGCAGTCTGGAGGAGCAGAGGGATCTTGGGGTTCATGTTCACAGTTCCCTGAAAGCTGCCACCCAGGTGGATAGAGTTGTTAAGAAGGCGTATGGTGTGTTAGCTTTCATTAATAGAGGGATTGAGTTCAAGAGCTGTGAAGTAATGCTCCAGCTATACAAAAGCGTGGTTCGGCCACATCTGGAGTATTGTGTCCAGTTCTAGTCACCTCTTTACAGGAAAGATGTGGAAGCGTTGGAAAAGGTGCAGAGGAGATTTACCAGGATGTTGCCTGGAATGGAGGGAAGATCTTATGAGGAAAGGTTGAGAGAGCTAGGGCTTTTCTCTTTAGAACGACGAAGGATGAGAGGTGACTTGATAGAGGTGTACAAAATGATCAGAGGTATAGATAGAGTAGACAGCCAGAGACTTTTTCCTAGGGTGGAGGTAGTTTTTACGAGGGGACGTAGTTTTAAAGTGAAAGGAGGTAGATATCGTGGAGACGTCAGAGATAGGTTCTTTACTCAGAGTGGTAGGGGCGTGGAATGCATTGCCGGAGAGGGTAGTGGAGTCGGCCTCATTAGGGGCATTTAAGCGGCTATTAGATAGGCATATGGATGATAGTACAAGGTAGCTGTGGAGGTTAGATAGACCTTAAGTTCGGCACAACATCGTGGGCCGAAGGGCCTGTACTGTTCTATGTTCGATGTTCTAGATTTCGGATTTAAAACTAAAAGCATTTACACAGTTAAAACTGTCCAGTGTGTATACAACTGTCACGCTGGCTCAGGTACCTTCACGTCACTGAGTCAGAAGTTTCTGTGTTCAGGGTTCACTACATATTGGTGCACATGTTTCAGGTAAGCATTAAACTTTTACATACATGTCAACATTTTCAATATTACATTATTTATAGATTACCTTTAGGACTTTATCACATGTTTGGGACTTGGATCCAGTCTCATCACGCTCAGTGGCAGTTTTGCCCCTGTTAAAAGATTTTAAAATGACATGTACAATTATGTTATAAATTAGTGATTTTTAAATCATAAGACAGCAGCAAAATAATAAGCAAGTGACCTGGAAAATATTATAACTGAGACCACAGAAGATTTCATTTTAAAAAAAGACATTAAAACTTACAAGTAAACACTTTCGCACACTGCTTGTGTTCACTCTTCCAGAAGGTTATAGTATTACCATAGGAAAATTATTCCAAAATCTGGATCTACCAATATCATCCAATTAGCCATATTTCTTTCTTTTTTAACCTATTTTCATAATCAAGCTTTTCAGAGATGTTATCATACTCGTCTGCAGCAGATGGGACTTGAACCCCGGTCTCTCAGTCCAGGACTAGGGACACGACTGCTGTGCCACAAGAGGACCCTCTCTTCACACCCCCGCCCCGCGCCCCCACCCCAAAGATTTATTTTTAAGTCAATGTTAAATTGCAAAAAGCTGTTAGGTTAAAACTTTTGCAAGCAAACAACACAGTTTAAGAAAAGTATGAGAATCTAATTAACTTCCTTATTATCACCTACCATGGATCAGGGTGTCCTTGCCCATTAACAGGGTCTGGAATGATAGTTCCAAATGAGTTGTCATGGGATACTGGGCTTTTCTAATTAAAGCTCACAGGTTAACAGGTTGAAATAATGGCCACTAATGGTAACAATTCTGTGAGAAATACAAGCTAATAGTTTTTATTATGCAGGAAATCAACATTAGGGAATGAGCTGTAAATAACAAGTGACCATCTAGTTACGTATGAGGTGTTAAAAAATAATCTGCTGGGTATTTTTGTGAATCAGCTTTGAAATTTCCTCTTTAGATTCTCATTGGTAATCCATTAATGAAAACTGCCAGCATACTTTGTCATCAATTAAGGAGGAGCGTGTATCGCTTGCCTCAAAGCGTCTTTATATTAAATCAGCATATTTCACTCAACAACATTTCTGGTTTTATTTACTCTCTATGTTTTTAATTAAATAATGAGAATTACATGGACATACAGCAAGTACAAGTCTAAGTCTGAGACAACGGATTAGAGCGGCATTAAGTGATCTTTGCTAGAAAAAGAGACTGAAGAATAGACTGATGTACAGCTGCAGAAAATCAGTAAACAAGACAAAGATTAAAGTCTAAGTCTATAAGTGAGTAATGCAAGGAATTAGCACGCACTCTTATCCTTCTGACTTTTAGAATCCAACTTAGACAAACATGTTGAGGTTTCCTCCTTTTTGTTAAACATAAAATTCAGCGTAGAGTCCATCTCAAATAGGCACATTGGACTTCAGAAGTTTTAATATCAAGTCTTCTGTTTTATTGCAGAGATAGATTTTGAGATGGGAGATTAACTAAATTGTAACCTCAAAAAGGTTTCTTAAAAGAAGGAATACTGTATAATTAGTGACAGTCTGCTTCAGTGCATTCAGAACTGGACTTATTCCTACAGGCAAAAGGTTGCAGCCAGTAGATTTAAAAATAATAACTTCTACATGAAACAAGACAAAACTCCATCCAGCTCACCATCTACCACTCCTGGTAACCCCATGATATAAATGATATCAAGTTGAAGTTTTAGACCAGTTACAGCATTCCCCCGTTATTTATTAATTCACAAAAGATTTGTATGGTAAAACCAAATGGGAAGAACTTCGGGTACAACAGGTCAGTGAAAGAACTCTTGCATTTACACAGCACTTTTCACAAGCACTGGACATCAGAGAGCATTTCACAGGGCACCGCTATTGTTAATTAGGAACAAAGAACAAAGAACAAACAAAATTAAGGCACAGGAAAAGCCCTTTGGCCCTCCAAGCCAGCACCGACATGCTGCGCGTCACAACTAAAACCCCCTAACCCTTTCGGGGACCGTATCCCTCTCGTGCCCGAGAGAGCAAGCGAGAGAGGGAGAGACGCAGACAGGGAGCACGGGTGCGAGAGAGAGAGAGACGCAGACAGGGAGCGCGGGCACGAGAGAGAAAGACACGGACAGGGAGCGAGACGCGGACAGGGAGCGCGGGCGCAAGAGAGAGAGAGAGACAGGGAGCGCAGATGCGAGAGAGAGAAAGACAGGGTGCGCGGGCAAGAGAGGGAGACAGGGAGCGCGTGCGTGAGAGAGAGGGAGAGACAGGGAGCACAGGTGTAAGACAGGGAGTGTGGGCACAAGAAGGAGCCAGAGACACAGGGAGTGCAGGCGAGAGAGAGAGACACAGGGAGCATGGGGGCGAGAGAGAGACACACAGGGAGC